AACCAAATAAAAATGGCCAATACTACTGCGATTGCCAGAGGCTCACGGGAAAGATTCGGGTGTTGTCTGCATGGTTTGGATGCACCATCCAAACCATGCAGACAACACGGAGAGAAGGCTATTGGGCCAGCACGGGCTCTGAGATGGAACTTGTGGGGATGGCATGGTTCTAATCTCTTCAGTCCCCACTTTCTTTCCACACTGTGGCCTTGAAGAGTGGATCCTCTTGTGCTGGTTGGGGTTCCACACTAGCCGCCGGCCCAGGCAGCCAAGTACCTGTTCCTACCCACACAGGAGCGGGCAACTGACTTGGTCACTAGATCAGGGGCAAACAGGAAGCACCTCCTGCCACCACACACCAGTGCCACTCTTCTGCAACATCAAAGTTGTGAAGCTAGAACAATATTGAGGTGACAAAGATGCTTACAAGCCTTGTCCTGCCTCAAGAGCACCCAGCTCACGGATCTTCTAGCCCATGGACAGAGAAGGCCAGTCTGAGCCTAAAATGTGGTGGATGCAAAGCTCCATGGGAGCACAAAGGACAGCAGGACTTCAAATGATGGGGGGGACCCAGGATGGCTTCAAGGAAAGGACACCTGGAAAGAAAGCTGGCATCTCAACAGGCCTTTTAGGCAGCCTCTGAGGGAGGGAAAGATGCTGAGTGGCGTCACTGCCCTGTGGAATGGACAGACAGGGAGCAGAAGGAGGGCAAGACAAGAGGCCAGAGAGTCAGAGCGGGCCTGGCGGAGAACACCTTCGAGAGTAGGACTGGCCAGGCTTCAAAGCTGCTGGGTTTTCTTTGGGAGCTTTGTCCAGAGTCTACAATGACCAGAGAGCTCTGAGCCTTAGAAAGGCCAGTGTGGCAGCCAGGGGGACACAGTGCCCTGGGAGAGGTGAGACAGGAGCTGGTGAGGAGTCGGGTTTCATGGTCCAGGGAGATGGAGCAGGAGGCAGAGCAAAGAGGGCCGGTTCCAGCTCATTGCCCTCTCTGTCCGAGCACCCTGCCCAGTGCCTTTCCATGTCGGGATTTTGATTATCCTCAGGATTTCCCCGGGGACTAAGGGCTGACAAAGCTGGGGTGTGCGGGTTCTGTGCACCTGAGCAGGGGTCTTGGCTCCACCACCCCCACCCTGCAGGAAGGAGGGTCAGTGGCCTGGGGACTCTGCCTGTGCCCAGCTCAGGGGCCCCGTGGGGAAACTGCGAGGGTGGGTTGGGGTGGGGAAACAGTGCCACACGGCCCACTGCTTCTCCCCTGACTCCCCCATCCTCATCCCCTTCAATCATTTGTACGACAGGAAGAGAACCTAATCCCAAATCTGAAAAACTATGTGATGGAGGATTTACAGTATTAGAAGGCAAACAGTGGCAGGTGTAATTAGGAGAAAAATTTGTCATGCTCTCGACTTGGGGAAGAGAAAGGAAGGTCTGGCATCACAATCTCGCCGGTGTTTACCCAGTGTGCACACACACGCGGGGGAGCGGGCGCTGGCCACCGGCAGATTAATATTTGATGCAAGGGGGAGAAACGCATGCTGTTCATGTTTATTTAGGATATTGTGAAATACAGTGAAATTTGCAATTTTATTGGATTTGTGGGGATGGTGTTTTGGAGAAGTCTTAAGCCGCATGGTAGGACACGCACATCTCTCTGGAGCATAGAGGGACCAGCTTTGGTGGTGAGCCCCCTCTGCCCCCCTTCCCAAATCCAAACTTCTAGTTCCATTCCCTTCCTGAAATGAAAGGGGATTGGCCCCAGGAGTATGGTTGGAATAAGACAGAAATCTCAGCTGGGCCTCTTAATTTGGAGTTTAGAGGCATGTGGCTGGCATAGAGAGGGCATCTCTGGGGGGTTTGTGTCAATTACACAAGGGCTGGAAGCCAGCTTGGGCAGCTTTAGAACTGGTGACCCTGGCCCAGCTCGCGGGGGGGCCTGGGAGGAGAGAAAGATGGGTAGAAAGTGGGATACTGAGCTGTTCTTTTTGTGTCCAAGAAACTAGTGGTTGGAGAGAGCCTTAGAAAGCCCATCCGAGGGATTTCCAGTTCTCTTTCTCCAGTCAGCCAGCTTGTGCTGCCCCATCTCCAGTCTTCAGGGACTTGTTAGCCCATGCCATCATTGGACACTGCCCTGCGGAGAACTTTTCTTTACAATTTCCGAAGCGCATGGTTTAGGTTGGGGTGGAGGCAGGGACAAGGATCTGGTCCAGTGTTTGCTCACACTGTGTTCAAGTAAAGGCCCAGAGAGCTGGACCGCTAGGCAGGTACTTGCACATATGGTATATTCCTGAGTGAAGACATGAAACCTGATAGAGGTGATTGTTTCTAGACATGGAAACGGGAGGGATATGAATGTGGGGACCCAGGCAGGGAGACTGACTTCTCCACTCACTATTTTTGACCAATTTGAATCTTTCATCATGCGCTTGTACTACTTTTTCTCAGTATAGACACTTTTCTTTTAAAAAGTATGTTCTTGTTGAAGAACAGAATTAGATAAAGAGGAAAGAGGAAATGGGATGGTATGAAATAGGATGGGTTTAGGGGAGTAGGTGAGATAAAGAATTTCAAGGGAACAAAATATGCAATAGCAGAATTCACACTCCTGGGGAGGGTCAGGGAAAGAAAGAGGGAGAGAGAGAGAGAGAGAGAGAGAGAGAGAGAGAGAGAGAGAGAGAGAGAGGGAGAGAGAGAGAATCAAGTCAATCATTACATTGAACCAAAGGCTGCCTGTCTCCTTGGAGCTTCTACCCACTTTCCCACTGTCCTAGTTCTACCAACTGGGTCACACAGAGAAAGTCTCCTCCCTGTGCCCCACGGCAGCCCTTCAGGTATCTGAAGATAGAACAGAGCCTCACCAGAACTGTGCCTGGCACCTATAAATATCTGAGCTGGGTCAGACTGGATTCTGGCTCCTTCCGCCCCAAACTTCGTCCTCTGCCACACATTGCCACTCCTGTCCTCCAGGACAAGGCCTCTCTGCATCCCCACGACCCCCAGGGACAATCCTCCACTTCTGCCAGGGCCTCCTGCAGTGAGGGGCCTGCTCTGCAGGTGTCCCACTTTCTCTGACTTGACAGAGGCCCCCCTTTCAGCATCAAATGCAAACGCTTTAGAGACCATCCAATTCCAGTTTAAAGATCAATAGTAAACCGAGGCCCAGGAAGACACCAAGACTGGCCTGCAGTCGTGATCTCTCTGTGAACTCTCCTGTGAACCCTCCAGCACTCCTAGCAGGACAGACGCTGGGGCAAAGTCACTGGGACAAGGTCACTGGAAGAAGTGGGGCCAGTGCCAGCCACTGTCATGGGAAGTGGCTTAATTTCTAGAATAGGTAGCAAGAAATCCCAGAAGCTGGGCAAACCAGACAGGGATTGAGGTTAAAAGAGACTTGCAGAAAAGACAGGGCTGGGGCAGTCTCAGCAAGCAGTGTGTGAAGAGAGGGAAGGCGGTCGTGCTGATGTGTGTGTGCGTGTGTATGTTTTGCCCGTGTACACATGAACCTGTGTGATAGTCCACACAAGTGTGTGTGTGTGTGTGTGTGTGTGTGTGTAGCAGAGGCATGTGTGTTGACACCGCTCTGGGCAGAAGATGTGCGTGCATGTGCGCCAGGCGTCTGCTGCAGCAACTTACCTGCATTTGCTCATAAAGCTGTCTCCTCCCCTAAATTGTAAGAGGAGATTTTATCTTTTATTTTTTTTAAATATCAATATTCTCAATGCCAACTGGAGCCCATGGCATATAGTAGATGCTCAGTCAACATCCACCGGACTCTATTCACTTGCCCAGTGTGTCTCCAAAAGAAGCATCCACAGCAGGAAGGGGAAAGACTCTACCACACAGCAAATGCTCATGGAGGATCTGTGCACGCGTGTCTTGGCAAGTCTTCCCATGTGCACACGTCTGTGTGTGTGCCGTGGACATGCCCTGGCGTGAGAGATTTCAAACCACAGCGAGGGAGTGTGTGTACATGTGTGTGCACGGGCAGGCGTGTGCATGCCAGCTCCAACAGCTCGCTCGTGCACTCTTACAGCAGCCTCAGTGATGCCCAGCTTTGGCTCAGCCAGATTTCTTCCCCGGAAACCTGGAGCAGCTAAAATTAGTATGAAAATGGTGGTGTTCGGTTAAAGGGGGGGGGGGAGATGAGGGTGCCCATGAGTGCTATTTTATTTCTCAGTGAGAGGATAAAGTGATTTTTCCTACATAATTTTTGATGTAGAGGCTAAATTAGGCCAGAGAAGAGGGACAAAGCAACTTTCGCCCTCATTAGTATTCCAGCCGCGTCGGCCCAGCCACGGCAGTTATGTATTTTTGCAAGTATGCATATAATTTATTGTGGAGAACACAATTTACATGGTAGTCGATGCCTGTTTTATAGCCTCACAAATAGATGTATGAACTCAAGCATATAATGGCCCAACCAGCAGGCGCAAATACGTTCTAAATCTTCTAAATGTGCTTCACAAAAATGTAACTGAGGAATATAAAACAGATCAATTCTTGCATGTTATATATTGGTTTTTGATTTACAAATCTAATCTGGGACATTTCTTCAGAAATGAGGGGATTTTTCCCCCCTCCTTCCCCTCTTTTCCACCAACTTCTCCATGCATAGACCTGGCTTGCTGGCCAGGCGCCCACAGGTGCTGCCACCTCTGGGACATGCCCAAGTGCCCACGTGTGTGACCCTGAGCACGTGACCTTGCCGGGCTGCCTGGGGGGAACTCGCCTGCACACTGGAAAGCTGTGAGCCCCAGGTGAAAGGGACAGTGTGGTTTTGCTCCCTGTGTGGCCTCCCCCATTTGAGGCTGCGCATACAGGGAGGAGAACTGATAAGCACGCTCCACCTGAGTGCGGCTAGCTCTCAGATTCCATCCCTTTGGGCTTATATCTAAGTGGCCTATTTTCCCCTGGGAGACAGGCTGCCTTCCTGGCTGAAGCAGAAAAAAAGAAAGGGAGGGTCCGGAATGAAAATTAAACTAACATTTGTTAAGTTTCTCTTTTATTTTGCATTTTTAAATATTTTAGTCAATTTACCTCCATGCATGTGCCTTTTTTTTTTTTTTTTGGTCTTTTTCTTTTTTATCGGTACCGGGGATCGAACTCACAACTGCCTGCTTGCAAGGCAGGCGCTTATGCCGCTGAGCTAAATCCCCAGCCCCTATGCATGTGACTTTTTATTTTTAAAATAACCTATTCCATCCACAGCTTAGCTAGATAAAAACTATGGCATGCTCTTGAAATGGAATACAATACAGCAAAGTAAATGAGCCAAGTTTGGCTCCATCTTACAGTGTGAAGGATCCCAGCACACAGGTGAAATATAAGAAGCCAGACCTAAAAGAAGGGCTGCTGTATAACATGGCTCACACAAAGTCCAAAGCGTAAAGTGAACGAAACTCTCATTTGGAGATGGCAAAACGTGGAGGGAAAGCAGGAGCTCCCACTGTAACAGTCGGCTGTCTTCAGGGAGGCGGAGGTATAGCTGGCGCAGTAGGGGCTGCTGGGAGACTGACGCTGTTCTGATTCTGGACCAGGCGGTCCAAGAGTCATACCTGATAGAAAAGCCGTAAAAGCGGACTTTAAGGGTTTATGAAAAGTTAGCACCGCGGTTCCACCCTCTTAAACTCTGCCCCCCCTGAAGACAGTGGCAGGTAACATTTCTGGTACTTGGTTTTAGGTTGCTTTGTTTTGTTTTGCTTTTGCTTTTGGTCAGTCTATATAAATATTTCTAAATTTTGTTAAACTTCTCAGAGAACCAACTTTCGGCTTTGTTGATTTTTCTCTGCTGTCCGTCTCCTTGGTTTCATTTATCTCCACTCTAATCTTTTTTGTTGTTGTTGTTCACTTCGTGTTTACTTTGTTCTTCTTTTTCTTATACATTGGAGAGTCTTGACATGAGATCTATTTTCAAGGCGGCACCTACAGCTATACATTTCCCTCCAAGCACTGCTTTCGCTGCATCCCCTAAGTTTTGAGATGTTGTGTTTTAATTTTTATTCAACTCCAAGTATGTTTTCTTTCCCTTGAGATTTATTTTTTGACACATTAGTTTTGTGTTGTTTCCATGTTTTTATGAATTTTCCAAATTTAGTTCATCCCTGTGTTATGGCTTTTACCTAGATGTTCCCCCCAAAGCCTCATGTGGGCATGGGTGGGGTCTTTCAAAACAGACTAGACCTAAGGTGTTTGGTGCTGGGATTAAGGGTGTGTGACACTAAATTGGTCCACTGATGGGAAATAGTATAATTCTGGGAGTGAGTGGATGGATTTACTAAAAACAGAAGCCTGCCGCCCCCCCCCCCCCCGTGTGGGTGGCACCACCAAAAGGCCTGTAGCCTGTTCGGGCTAAAAGGGAAAGGCAGACTTGCTTCCTGCCTTCTGCTGCCATGCCATGACCTGTTTCTCCTCCGGGATGCCCCTCTGCCATGCCAGCCTGCCTTGGAGCCAGCTGATTATGGACTGAAACTTCTACAGTCTGTGAGCTGAAATAGGTTAAAAGTTGGGTATTTTGTCTCAGCAACAAGAAAAGTAACTAAAACACTCTTGACTTCTGATTGCTTTTTATATTTTTTATTAGTACCATTTGCAGTACACAATGAGTACATGCCTTGTGGGAAGTTAGTACACCTACATAACACATCTCAATTCTCTTTTCCCTTCCTTCCAGTCTCCCTCCATCTCTTGATCACTTTCCCATTTGAGAATGATCTCTGCTCTGTTTCCTGTTATCTATGTTTTAGTTTGCTCTTTATTTATAGTGTGGGGAGGGGCTGGGGGTTTAGCTCAGCGGCATAAGCACCTGCCTTGCAAGCAGGCAGTCGTGAGTTCGATTCCCGGTACCGATAAAAATAAAAATATTTATAGTGTGGGTTTCTCATGTAAGAGAAACAATGCAATATTTAAGCATGTTGTGTCTGATTTATTTCACTTAACCTTATGGTCCCCAGGTGTACCCATTTTCCTACAAATGGCTCAAGTTTACCCTTCTTTATAGCACAGTAATACTCTACTGGGTGTAAATATCACATTTTCTTTATCCACTTATCTGTTGATGGACATACAGGCTGCTTCCAAGATTTACCTATTATGAATTGTGCTGCTATAAACATGGGCATACATAATTTCCATTTTTATTGTACACTGTCATCAGAACACACCTTGTATGATTTCAATTTTTTAAAATTTATTGAAACCTGATTTGCATCTTAAAATATGATCTATCCTGGAGAATATTTCACATGCACATAGGAAGAATATGTATTCTACTATGGTTAGGTGGAGTTTACTGAATCACTAGATACTAGAAAATAGTACCTGTTAGGCCAGCTTGGTTTAAATGATGTTCAAATCTCCTATATTTTTTTTTTGTTTGTTTTTTTTGTTTTTATCAGTACCAGGGATCGAACTCATGACTGCCTGTTTGCAAGGCAGGCGCTTATGCCACTGAGCTAAATCCCCAGCCCTCTATTTTTTTTTTTATCAGTACCAGGAATCAAACTCACAACTGCCTGCTTGCAAGGCAGGCGCTTATGCCGCTGAACTAAATCCCCAGCCCAAATCTTCTATTTCCTTGCTGGTCCTCTATTTAGTTATGCAGTGGCGTTTTATATCTCACCTAAATGCTACTTATAATGTAGCAGTCACAACCTTAGATTCAGGGCTTGCAACCCAGGGCAGAGATAAAGAGGGTCAATTTTCCAAACAGGGTGACCACCGTCTCTGACCCTGTCCCATAGCCTCGGGCCTTGGATTCTGCATAAAATCCAGCAGCCTCGAGGTTTCCCACAGGCCCAGAGCTGAGAGGCTGTTTTGAAAGATATCCCGGAGCACCCGGGAGACCTGTGCTCGACACTGAGCTGTGTCGCCTTAGACAAGTCCCTTCCCCTCTGAACTTCAGTTTCCTCATATGTGATACAGAAAACTGCATGATCACTGCCACCATTTACTAACGCCTTGCCAAGTACTCAGAAGTACAGAATTGCGCTCACTCTTCCTAATAAGCTTAGAAAAGATATGTATCTTTGGCGTAGGAAGAGACTGAGGCCTATATTGCAAAATAACTCACCCCAAACCGCAGGCATTTTTATTAGTCATTTTCCCATCATAGGGACAAAATACCCGACGCCTATGACTTAAAGGAAGAGAAGTTTATTCTGGCTCGTGTTTCCAGTGGGTTCAGTTCAAAGTCAGCTGACCTCGGGCAGAAATAGCATGGAGAAAAGGCGTGGCAGAAGACAGTTGCTCTTCCCTCGGTAGCCCTGCAGCAGAGAGAGAAAGGAGACAGATAAATCCTTCCAGGAACCACCCCCTCCCAGAGACTCACCCCTTTAACCAGTCTCCACTTCCAAATCTTTCTAAATCATAGGCATCCAGCCATCAGGCCCTGGTGACTCCAAAGCTGTAACAGAGAACGCCTGCCACATGGCTGCCCTTCACTCTGGAGAGTGTTTCCATGTGTAACAAAGGGACAGGGTAGGATGAGCCGGGCATCAGAGGAGCTCCATCACTGTGGCCCCTCTTCAGTTTGTCAGCTGTGATCCCAGTGAGCGGAACTAAAGTAATTCCAGGTGAAATGACCCATCCCTAGGATCTGCTTTCACTACCCCAGGGAAAGGAAAAGAGGCAGGGGCCCAGGGGAAACAAGATGGGCAATGCTGATAATCATTGCAAATGAATGAGGGCACTCAAAGTTTAGAGAGTTTACTCTCCCTTGTTTGTAATATTTGAAATTTTTCATGCTGAGACATTAACACAAACCCTCAGATGCTCTGACTCCTGGTAGACTGAACCATGCAAGAGCTGGCTGTTCTGCTCCTGGGGAACAAGTCCTACTCCACTGGTGTCCCCAGCATCAGCAGGGTCTGGTCTCTGGGTGGGGTTGGCCTACTGTCTGGATGACAGGTGGCTGTGAGATGCATGTGTTTCCTTCTTGCTCTGGGGACCTGGCTGCAAGGAGACCTGCTGTCCCTAGTGTCAGGAAGGGGGAGACAACCATGACCCTTGACCTGGAGAGCTTCCTGAGGAGAATTAGAAGGAACTTTGATTTAAATAGGGGACAGGTGGGGTGGGAGGGCCCTTTGTTCCCTTCCTAGACAAACACACCCCCCAGACCTGCAGGCTGGAGCTGTTCCCAGGCTGGTATTTACAGTCAGCATCTCCATGGCAACAAGCTAGTTAGAAGGTCCTCAGCCAGGCTCCCTGGGGCCACTTATCCTCACCCTGAGGATGAGGGCTGAGGGCAGCATTCTGGGCTGTCCTGCCCTCCTTCTGGTTCAGTTCTCAAGCATTCCAAGGTGACTCCCACCCCATCCCCTGCAGACAGTGCCCCTGTGCATCAAGTCCAGGAAATAAAGTCCTGCTCCTGGCCAAACACACAGACACCCCTCTCCCTCTCCCCTCCAGTCCTCTCTCTGTCTCTCTGTCTCTGTCTGTCTGTCTTTCTCTCTCACTCCCTGAATCTGTTCTTGGTTCAGTGGGAAGAAGAAGACAAATGCTCACTCCCATACACATACACATACTCAGACTCACACACCACATACACACATGCACACACCCCCAGCGTAGCTGCAGTCTGAGAAGGCTCTGGCTCTAAGGCCTGGGGTCAAGCCCATCAATGTGGGCAGCTCTGCTCTACCATGTGGCAATAGGTAACTTACAGAGCTTCTTTGACCCACAGTTTCCCCATCTCTACATTGAGAGTAATTAGCCCAAACCGCTTATGCCAGTTTTAAAGATTAAATTTCATCACTAGAACAGGATAGGTGCTAAATAATTGCTTCCTCCTTTCTCCTCCTGACCCTGAAGCAGCCTCTTCCTCTGATAGCCCACATCGGGCCAGTTCTGGTTGGTGGAGTCTGGAAGTGGGGCAGTCTGGCTGATGTGAGCAGTTGTGTGTTCTTAGAACATCAGTCATCTCATCTCTGGGTGGCTGTGGGGGTTAAGTGACTTATAAAAGCACTTAGTACAGTGCTTGGAACATGATTGACATTGTTCCTGTGGTAATAAGAATAATAACAACGCGGGCCAGGGACATAGCTCTGCAGCACAGCACCTGCCTGGCAATTGCAAGGTCGTGAGTTCGATCCCCTGGTACCAAAAAATAAAAACAAGAATAATAGCAACACAACCATGCTGCTGCTGCTGCTGCTGTCAAAAACAGCCTGAACCGGGGCTGGGGATTTAGCTCAGCGGCATAAGCACCTGCCTTGCAAGCAGGCAGTCATGAGTTCGATCCCTGGTACCGGTAAAAATACAAAAAAAAAAAAAAAAAAAAAAAACAGCCTGAACCGAGAACTTTCTATGCTCCCTACTTTCCTGATTTGTGGGCTCAGCTAGTGACCCAAGGCTGGGCATGCGCGTTTTATGTCCTCACATTTAGAAATGCATTCATGCCAGAGACAGACAGTAGAAGCATGGGGCTACCGACAATTCTGCGGGGACCCTCACTCAGGAAGCAGTGCCACTGGGATTCTCACAGAAGCTGGATCCAGATCTGCTCAGTCCTGGAGCCAGAGCCCTCACTTGACAGAAAAGAGGAATGAGATCCCAAAGGGGGCAGCTCTTCACTGAGGTCACCCCAGTGGCCAGTATGGACTCTGGCCACTGCGTCATCACATCCCCACTCGCCGCCTCCCGAGGGTGCCCCTCCCCAGTGTCCAGGTGCTAAGGAGAATCCAACATCTGCAGCTGGCCGGGCACAGGCACCAGGAATTGTAGTCCGGCGCCTGTTGGCAGGGATCCTGAAACCTGCTGAAAATCCCCACACCCTTTCTGTCATCCTGCTCTCCTCTTCCTCTCTCTCTCCCCCCATCTCTTTCTAGATAAGTTTGCCCAGTTTTAGTTCCTGGTAAGTAGTCTCTCGCCCTCACCAAGACTGTACCCCCACATCCCTCAACCTGTGTAAAATGAGCAAAGTGCCTTATTCCCAGTGAGGAATAATGGAAAGAACCCAGAAAAGTCCAAAAGAAAATGCCTGCATGGACCAGTACTCACTCAGGCAGTGCCACTGAGATTTGCCTTTATGATCATCAGTTTGCCACAGAATTACCAGCCCCTGGTGGATCCTGGCTCTGGACCTCAGGCTCAGGTACTTTTCTCCTCGAAAGAGGGCATTGGGAGCCTCGTGGGGCAGGGCCCTGTGCTGAGTGCTCAGCTATGATGCTTGGTAAGATCCTGCCCTCCAGCAGGCCCCCTTACTGGGCAGACAGAGAAGCGAGTGTCCAAGCCTGTGAGGGAGCCCACCTCGTGCAGAGGGGCACGCAGATAACCAGCTGCAGTAGTCTTCCCTACAAGGTACACCCTGGAACCTCCCTGGAATCAGTGCCCAGAATTGGTCAGAAATTGTGTCAGAATTTCTGGGCATGTTTTAAAATCCCCAGAGTTGAGAATTGCTGCTGGAATAAATGCCACTGCAGACCTGAGCAGGAGGGTACAGGCTTCCCATGAAGACCGCAGCAGGACAGGCCATGGCCACACAGTGCTGTCACTAACCGTCCTGCATACAGAAGGGAGGGAGGAGGAACAGCTGTGAGCGAAGAAGACAAGGTGTGTGTGACGGGGCTCCACAGAGCCAAGGACCTCATCCAAGTGTCCCCCCTCCCCTGCAGCCCACTTCCACACGGTGGTTCTTTGCTGTACTTCCCACTCACACACTTAAGTGGCTGTGGAAATGGAGTGATGACGGGGTCGGAAGAGACCCCAGTGCTCCACAGGCTCCTCCCTGAAAATCCTTCCAGGCTCCGCCTCAGAGAGGAGGTGAAGCCAAACGCCGCCATTTAGGAAAGGCCTGGTGCTTTCCCAGTACCAAGCTGTGGAAACCAGAAAGACTGTCATTTGAGAAAAAGAAAATGATTGATTTTTAGACATACGGATTCCCAAGCCTAGAAAAACCTTGGAAATCAACATGGCCAACTCCATACTGTGCTGGGAGCTACGAGCATCTAGAGGGTGACATCACCTATGAGTTTCCCTGTATAGTCCCTGCCTATTTGATGGGCAAAGACAGACGAGGTCCTCTCCTCGTCCTAGTGGCCACCAACAACTCCTCCTGTAAACAAGAGAACCAAGATAGTGAAAAAGGCATCACCCACTGAGCCCTACTGTGTGCAGGATACACATTGGTGCTTCCAGTTTCTCTGGGGAGGAAGGAAGCCTCGTGAAAGAAAAATGGTCACCTTGGAATTCCAGTCTATGTTTTTCATTTGATTGGTTGATGGTTTGGTTTTTTGAGACAGGGTCTCACTATGCATCTCAGGCTGGCCTTGAATGCTCTATGTAGGATAGGGTGGCCTCGAACTCGTGGTGATCCTCCTGCCTCACGTGTCTGAATTCAGTCCTCATGCAAAGCAGAATGTGCTCTGCCTCCTCACTCACTCACTCATGCATTAACTTAGTCAACCAATCTTTACTGAGCACCTACTGTGTGCTGCTATGCACTGATCAGAGCCAATCTTTGCTCTTTACCATGGTCTTCCCTGGGTTGTCTGTCCAGTTGCCTCCTGGCTATGAGCCTGCAAGACACAGGCAGAGGCCAGGGCCCAGGTCAACCAGGAACAGGAAAGGCATCCGTACTGGACGTTCTCCAGCCTGCTTCCCACACTGAGTTTTGCTGATTGTACCCTAATGCAGTACGACTTTATGCTATAAACCCAGTTCCTCTGTTCGCCCAGAACCTCGTTTGTGAAGTGGGGATAATGAAAAAAGGACCCACCATGTTGGTTTCTTGGTTTTGATAAACATACTACAGTGACACAAGATAATAACAACTGGGTGAGGGGCTTAGATGCACTATCTGTGCTATCATGGCAACGTCTCTGAAATTATTTACATCTAAAATTATTCCAGCTGGGCATGGTGGCATGTGCCAAAATCCCAGCACTTGAGAGCTGTGGCAGGAAATCTGTCATGAGTTCGAGGCTAGCCTGAGCTACATAGTGAAACCCTGTCTCAAAAATAATTAATTAATTAATTCTAAAATGAAAGGTTAATTTACAAAGTTACAAGGCTCTGTCTCATGACTTTGATGTGAGGAAGATTAACTTACTAATCATGCTATACATATTTGCTGGTTATTACTTAGTTCTCACAAAATATTATGAAGGATGTATTATTCTTATTTTTCAGCCAGCCAGAAAAGTCTGGTGACTTATCTATAGTCATTCAGATAGTATTACCCAACATGGACATATAAACTCAGGTCTAAAACGCTCGAAAGGCCACATTCTAAAACTAATACTAATACTAATACTAAAACTAATACTAATACCTTAGCACCTTGCACATGCTAGGTAAGTACTTTACCACATACATCTTGCCCCTTCCTACCCCATTTTCTGAAATAGGTTCTTGTTAAATTTCCCAAGCTGGAGGTTAGGGATATAGCTCATCAGCACACACCTGATTAGTAGTCGAGAAGTTCTGAATCTGACTTCTGGTACAAAAAAAAAAAGAAAAAGAAAGAAAGAAAACTAATTTCCCAGGTTCCCATGTGATCCTCTTGTGTCATCATGCTCCACACTTAGCGACATCCCCAGCATTTTTTTTTTTGACAGACTATTGCTAAATTGGTAAGTTGCCCAAACTGAGCTCCAACTTGTGATCCTCCCGCCTCAGTCTCCCAGAGTGCTGAGACTACAGGCATGCACTTACCTGGCCTGGCTAATATCTTAGTACTCTTAATGACAAAGAAATGACTGCTCCACCAGAAGCAGTTCTGGGAGTGAGGAACTAATGGTTATGATCAAATATGCTGTTTTGCAGCTGCCCTGGTTGATCTTCACCCCCGCTCCATGGGACTATAGGGAGTACATCTCCATTCAGATGAGTCCAGCAGGGTCCATAGTTTATGCTGATGTCAGACACACTTGGTGTTTCCCACACCACAGCGAGAAAGAAACCGTTTGCCCCTCAGCTCCAAAGTCAAGTGGATGCCCACAGCCCAGTCTAGTCCCCTGAGCTGGCCTACCATATCTGGTGGGCACCCACTCTCCAATGTTCTCAGTGAGGGGCTTAGAACATGCCCATGGCTCTTTTCCTACGATACCTAAACCAGTCTCTTCCTCCAGGGAGCTGGACACCATAGTTCTGCTTATCCAACTTGGGACTGTTGGGCTTTTGAGTAGCCTTACTTTATTACCCAAAGGAAGCAAGATCCAGGCCACTGGACAGTCCACAAATCAGAAGACAAAGTGTTTCAGACCACGTGTCTTTGCAGCAGTGTGGCTGGGGCAATCCTTAACTTTCCTAAGCCTCAGTTTCCTAGCCGTAACACAGGGCAACTAATACTAATAATACCTTTCATACCCACCTTTCTCTCAAGCAGTCTTAACTGAGATGGGATGCCCAAGGTCTGATCCCATCACAAGCCCTGAAGTATGGTACACCCCACCTGGGACTTTAACACCACTTTTCTGACACCCCCTCCCCCTAGACAAATGTGATATCCCTGGAGCCAGCAGCATGTCTTACTTACCCTTAGATTCCCCAGTGCCTAGTAAGGTTAGCAGTAGAAAACATTTGTATAGCACTTCCTCCTGGCCAGGTCCAACCCTGAGAAGGACATCCTGTGATCCTTATACATGAGAAAGATATAGTCCAGAGCCATGCTCAGCCCTGTAACTCGGCACATAAAAAATGTCCAGAGTGTTTTTGTTAGCTAGATGGAGGACAGGATGGGTGAGTTAATGAGCAGACAAGATGGGCTCAGATATACAAGGGTAGAGAGAAGATGAGTGAGCAGATGGAGTAGTAAAGAGATGAATATAGTGGGTGAGGGGGTGGGCAGGTGGACCGATATAATGGTGAGTGAAGAGGTGGATGGATGGGTTGGATAGGGAGGTGAATGAGCGAGTGGATGGATGGATGGATGGATGGATGGTACATGGCTAGGTGGGAATAGATGTTAGATGTGGGATGAGTGAGTGGATGAATGAACGAGTAGGTAAGTAGATAAGTGCATGGATAGCAGCTTTGAAAAGTTCTTGTGTTGCCAGGTTCTAAGACTGAAGTGATCCCTTGGGGCCAGTGAACCAGTGGAGGCATTTAGACATAGCAAAAGAAACCCTCACCCAAGAGCGAGAAGAAGCTAGAAGCAAAAGTCCCGTTTCCTCCATAACAGCCCTCCAACCACCTCCCAGTCCTGAGAATTTTTCCTCCCCAGCCTTGCCACCGCCCTTGGATAGCCCCCACGCCTGTGGATGAAAGGTTGGCAGAGACAGCGGGTGGGCGGGCGGCTTGTTCCCTCATTGTCAGCAGTAACCTTCCTCCAGGCTGCTTGTTCTTCGTAATGTTACACTTGTCTTCCTGCAACACTTGGATACCCGAGCCAATTTTGTCATGCAAATGAATTCAGCCCATTGTAAATCCCACAGAGGGCGGTGGGTGCCTCGGAATCAGCCAGGGGCGGGGCTGTGCTAGCATGGCTTCTCTGCTGCCCCTTCACTGCCACTGAGGAAGGAGTGACAGACTTTGACTGCAGAGCTTCCTGGCCTTTCCTCAGAATCAAAGACTGTGAGCGCCAGAGCAAGCAGTACAGATGCATCTTCTCCCATTACTAGGGAGTAATCTGAGGTGCGGAGGGGTGGGGGTGGGGGAGTGTCTTGCACGCAGCCAGCCGCATAGCCAGTTAGACCAGGTTCAGCCAAGTCTCAGTCATCCTCTCTCTACTAGGTTGGGCTGCACCTGCCACCGTCGCAATTCAAAGACCCCTGACCTCCAGAATGGCTTGAATTCACCCTTCACCAGCCTGAGCTGAGATCATCCAGGGACCAGGAGCTCCCATGAGCTAGTTATGTTACAGGGGCAGGACCAGGATGTGGACAAGTGCCGGGCCTGGAGTGGAAGGCCAGGTTGACTAGGGGACAGTCTGTGGTCTAGGCAGGGTAGGTGCCATTCAGAGAGGATGGCCAAGGCAAGGGCAGGCTGGCGGGTACTTCTGATCAGGGGTTAGGATACGAATACCAGATGTTCTGCCAAGAAAGGCTGCCTGGAACCAATGCCAGGACATCCACAGCAGGAAAAAAGCCAGGGAGGAGGACTGCGTGGGTGGGAGACAAGTGAATGAGCCCATGTGGCTGTCTGGGGAGACCCACAGGTGAGCTCTGCAGGGGTGCAGGGTGAAAGGCAGAGGTGTCAGGTGGCAGCATGCCAGCATGCGGAGCAAGGACAGGTGGGGATGGTGTTTGTGCAGGACGGCATGCCCAGTTCTCCACCCCAGCCTGATAATTCTCACAGGAATCCTGCCATATGGGAATTGTCTTCACTTTCTAGACTAGAGGACTGAGTCTTGGGAGATTTCATTCCAAATCCATGAGATCCCGGTGTTCCAGAGTCTATGTTCTTTCCTCGGTGCATTCTGCCACTTCTGCCAAGTTCGGCCAGCAGGAATTAGCCCTTCACCAAACTAGCAGCAGAGGATGCAGAGGGCCGGGGGTTACAAAGATGCAATGATTTTCCAGGATGTGAGAGTTCCAAGCTGTGTGCAGGCTAAAGTCCTGTCTCCCACCTCCTTGGTGTTCAAGGCCCTTTCCAGCATGACCCAACTCTCCCCCAGCCCCCAAACCTGCACATTGCTAACTTAGACTGTTCCCAAAGAGCCATTCCCTGCTCCTCCTTGCTTCCAGCTCTCTGCAAGGATGTCCATCCCCTTGGGATGCCCTTCCCCACTCGGTCCGATTTCTGACCTTCAGGGCTTGACTCTGTTCCCTTGACCTTCTTCTCCCCTTCTGGAAAGTGCTGGCTCCTCCCTCACTGTGGTTCTCTCACGGACACCTATCACCTTGGCTAAAACTAGAGTTCATATTGTGTTGGTTTTCCTCAATCCTAAAGGGCCAGGGTGGCTCCCACTTGTCATACTGAAGAGTCTGTGGCTAGCACGCCCACCCCAGGATGACCCTCTACAGTCCTCCATGTCTGTTTGGGGGCCCCTTTCCCTCCTGATTTCATCCACCCATCACTAAATCCCTGAGCTCCTTGTTCAGCACCCTGAGTCCAACCAGATACAGATCAATCAACTGCTTAAAGCGCTCACTTTCCCGAGGCTGGCCCAGGCCATTTGGAGGAGGCTGCAGACTGGAACGTCCTCAGATAGGGGCTCAGGGCTCTTGAGATCAGTGGTAGGGCTCTGGGTCCCCCAAGTCCCCTCAAGCTGCATGCACCAGTGCTCTCTTTCCTGGCTGGCTTCCCAGGCAGAAGCAGCCCAGCAGGCAGGGTGCTGCAATAGAAAGCAAGTGCCCAGCCTCAGCAAGACCTAGCTCTTTGTCTATTCTGCCCGTGGCCTGTAGTGTGCCCTGGGCCAAGCCTTTCTTCTCTGGGCCTCGGTTTCTCATGAGCAGGAGGGACACTTGGCAACACCAAGACCTCATCTTTGTGGAAGCAGGGTCCAAGCTAAAATATCCTCCTTCAGAGCCCCAGCCCCAGGGCCAGGTGAAGGGGGAAGTACTGAGCTGCACAGTACTTGGGGCCACCCAAGGAGCAGTCATTGTAAAGATGAGAGCAGCTTTACCAGCAGGTAGTAGTCCAGGTGTTGTGCTAACAAACCTCACACAAAGGACCTCATCAGCCCTTGTATTGTCCCCTTCTGACACAAGGGCAAAGGGCACAGCAGGGGCCCCAGCTTTACTTTTCCACCCTGTGCTTGGCCCCCAGTTGGCTTTAGGGCTTGACATGAGGGCACTGCCACTCCCTGTTGCTGGCTTTATTTGGTGCATAGGCTAGGAGGAGAGTGGTACCTTGGCCAATGGAGAGAAGAGAATAATATGTGCAATGTCTTTCTGTCTGGGGTGCCCTGCAAAATGTGCTCATGGCACCCCCAATGCCTGGGCTCTCAGTAGGACAGGATTCCCAGTAGGAAGGGAGAAGCCCACCTGTTGTAGGTATTTGGAGTCTATGACCCGCATGTGACCCCCCCTCCTCACATCTCCAGGAGCACTGCGGGAGGCTGTGGGATACTAATAACAACTCCATCTATGAGGAGAGGACCCCAGTGAAGAACCCAGAATCACAGGAACCTGCAGTGCCCTCCCCACCAGGCACACTCTGTCCCCTCTCCTTCTCCAGACCTCGATTTCCCCATTTGTGTGCAATATGGGATTGGAACCAAAGAAGCGCCCCGCCCCCACACTGCTCCTCACAACCCCCCTCCCCCAGCTCCGCAGGCCCAGGCACCCTCCAGTGCCCCAGCCAGGGCCCTGACGACACAGCCCCTCTGGGCCATTCATCAAGGGCCCTGGGGTGCACGAGGCTGCGGTAATGACCGCCTTCAGCTTTTGCTGGCATAATGTATGCCCCACGCTGCCGCCCCAGTCCCTCAATCCCAGCCGGTCTGCGGAGGCCGAGATAGTCCTTAATGAGAAGAGCCCCGCTTTATCTGCTTTCTACTTCAGCCATTATCTCCCCCAGTCTATAGACACGCAGTTACCTCTGACAATAATGCTCAGAGGCAACAAATGCTGATGAGTTTTCTATGCAGTCCGCACAATAAGTCTATCAAAACAACCTCGGAAAATTATGAACCCCCGTGACAGACAAATACAACCGGCTTCGGCGTGAATTTAGAGCCCCCAACGCTGCGTTTCTTTTAATTCTTCAGGCTTCCCTTATCTCTGCTGTTCCTCTTCTGGTGGGGAGATAACAGTAATTCTTCTCTGTGCTGGGTTTTTTTTTTTTTCCCCTTTCCCTCCCCCACCCGTTTGCTTTTTTTTTTCCACCCACTGAGTGAGATGTTTTCGTGTCTTTCTGCTTGCTAAAGATAAAGGGTTAAAGACCAACTTATGTTGGGTGCTGGGGAGGGGGAAGGGGGCAGGGGAGAGGGGGGAAAAGTAATCAGCATTCAAGAGATTGCTATCGGAGAAGCCGCGCAGAGAACAGTAATTTTGCTGGCTTCGGCGAGGGCTCTCTCCACTCCCCCCCCCCCTTTTTTATGAATGCACATAATGCCTGGAGTGTTGGGGGCAGATAAAAGAATTAGCAGCAGCCAGGGGGACGGAGGCCCGGAGAACAGGGGAGAATTAGAATGTCTATCTTTGTCTCTTCCGGCTCATCCAGCCAGCCGAGGCTCCCGGCTCGTAAACAATTTAATCTTTTTGCTACAGTTAAAATACAAAGACAGCAAGCCTCCTTCTTCCAAATGGAAAAGGGAGGAGGAGGGGGCCAGGAGCAGAGGATGGGGCTGGGGGCCGGAGGGGGGGGGGCTGGAGGGAGCCGAGAGAAAAGGGCTGACACCACAAACTTTTCTGCTGCCGGCTTAACCCCTGGGCCTCTGAGACCTCGGAAATGCGCCCCCACCCACCCATGCTGTCCCCCCTGGTGGACACGCACAGCCCTGACCTGGCTTGGGGCAGCCCATCTAAGGACTGGAGGGGAAGCCATTGAGGTTGGGAGTCTTGTTCCTGCTGAGGGTTCCGGCTGCTGTCTTTCTGGAAGGTGTAGCCTGGGCTCATTCAACCCGCGGGCCTTGTTTACTTCATCCCCCTACTGGTAAGGCCTGTCCTTAGCCCTCTCTTCCTCCCTCCCTCATTTCCTCCCTTCTCTTCTCTTGAGGCCTGGACTCTAGTGAGAGCTGTCAAGCACGCAAGGTGAGCACACCTTCTCTTCCCCATTAAGTTGCAGCTGCCAGGGTAGGGACAAATGTGGTCCCTCCAACCCAGGGCAAGGATGGGGCTGTTTAGAACAGGGGCTGTGCATTGAGACCAGCAATAGAGAAAGGCTGAGATGGATCTAAAGGAGCCCTTCTTAAAGACCAGGTCATTGCAAGGGACCTCAAAATTACTGAGAATAAAGAAACCTTCGGAGGGGCCCTAGGGATAGAGAATTAGAGGAGGGGAGCCCTCACAAGTCAGTGGCCCGCACAACTAATCAACTGGACATCTCAGTGTACCTCTACACCATAGGCATTGTTAGCCGTTTCATCCTGACCCTTGTCACAAGGAGCAGTTTTCATAAGACAAAGTTGGAAGCTGGCTCCTCCCTTTCTCCTTTCCTGCTGCCTGTGGAGTGCTGATCTCCATGTACTGACACTAAATTCACTACTCTCTCTTTGAGGGCACCTATGCTTCTTGCCTCTGGGTGCCTAAGGCCAGCACAGTGCCTAGCCGAGGCTGCCGAATGCTGGCTGAATGATTTGGCAGATGAATCAACCAATGAACATACCAATAAAACAGGGCAGGGAGAAGAGGGCATGTAAAACAGGAGCTTCTTGGGCACCCAACACACACTTGGAAGAAGGGCCACTTAGGAAAAGGATGGGGGTGCGAGCAGTGAGAAGGAGGAGAAAGGACCCAAAGGAAAAGGTCAGGAGTATGGTCCAGGGAGCTGTTTCACCCTGCCTGGGTTCCACCAGCCTGTGCCATTCAGTTAACTCGAAAACCAAAGCAGTGACCCAGACTCAGCCAGAGGCTCAGCCTCCAATGGCTTCCCTAAGCCCTTGCCTTGCAGCCCTTCCCAGGAAGCCATGCAGGGCATCACAGCCTTGGGATCAGGGGATCTGGGCTCACCTGTGAGTGCTCAGTGGCTGTGTGAACTCGGGGAGTGATCTCTCTGAGCCTTGGGTTCCCCATCTGTGAAACAGAAACAGCGATACCTCTATCTTAGAGGGCTGGGTTAGCGCACAGTAAGGACCCGGCATATGCAGGTCACAAAAAATAGAGTATCTTGTAATGACAAGCATAGCAGGCACAATAAACTAAGGATGCTAAAAGGACAAAAACATCTCGAAGCTCCACAGAGAATCTATGTTTATTGTTTTTCCTTTGTCATTGGCCTACCCCTGTCTTTCCTCCAGATAAAGCCACTTCCCCAGCTCCTGCATCTCATCTCCTGACTGAGGAGTGAGAAGCCCAGGAAAAGCTCTTTGGAGACTCATGGAAGCAGAGTTCTGCCCAAGGATAAGCTGTTCCTGCAACTTTTCAGGTAACACCCAACCTTCCTGCTGCCCCACACCTGTGGTCCAGGCCACAGCCTCCTTCAGTCCCAACTCCAAGTCCCATTTCAGTATCCATCCTTTCTCTCTGAGACTCCACAGTTACTCCGAAAATGGCCTTCTAGATATTAGAAGAGATATGGGAGCAAACACAGATATCAACGTGGGTTTTTATTAACAATGCTGAAATGACAGTTTAATGATGAGTATTTGTAACCTACAACCAAGTAACAGTTATTTTCAAATATACATTAAGCTAGACATAGTGGTAATCCCAATACTCAGGAGGCCAAAGCAGGAGGATCACTGTGAGTTCAAGGCTAGCTTCAACTACAGAGCAAGACCCTGTCTCAAAAAAAAAAAAAAAAAAAATCAAATATACGTTAACTATGTATAATCTTGGTCACTTCTGAAACCAGGACATCTCAAATTGTCCAGACACCAGAATCACTTGGGCAGCTTTAAAAAATATTAGTTCTTGGGGCTGGAGGTTTAGCTCAGTGGCATAAGCGCCTGCCTTGGAAGCAGGCAATCATGAGTTCGATCCCCGGTACCGATAAAAAGGAAAAAGACAAAAAAAAAAAAAAAAAAAAAAAAATTAGTTCTGAGCCCAATGCTACAGATTCAAATCAGAATGTGCGTCCTTTGATTTGAAAGATAGGAAAGCAGATTGCTTAAAAGATCTCAGAGGGGTCAATTGGTGAACCTGGTTTGGGATCTGTTATCTTTAGCCACAAAGAAAGAGGCTTCATTGTACTCATTAATTCAACAGATACTTTCCGAGTACCTGCTATTCATCTTTATGAGTGTTGAAAGGAAAGAGAAAGGGAGGAGATAAAAAGAAGCTGAAAAACCTGCAAGGCACAGGAAACCATCATCTTAATCACCTAATACAGAGCTGCACTCCCAGCCTCAATCCACAAAACCCAGCCCTTCCGAGATCCACAGGGTCTGCTGCTTGTTCTTTGCTTAGGGACTGAGCAGGAAAACACATTTACTAAGGATCTAAAAAGTGCCAAGCCTGCACTAAGGATTTAACTACACATATGATCACATTCAATCCTCACAAAACCCATAGCCATTATTATTTGCATACTATTAATGTGGAAATAGAGGCACAAAGAGATGGAGGAGCTCACTGAGCTTCACCCAGCTGGCAAGCGACGGGCATCTTCTCTCAAATAATTCAGTACTGTCCAAGTGCAGGGTCTTGGGATTCTAAATCTTCGTTATTAATCACAATGCTTAGCACTCAGTTACCTATTTAGAAAACTGACAACCCACCTCCTACATGCAAAGCCCTTACCTGTGGGGATAAATAAGACCCTGATCTCAAGGAGTGTCCCTCTTAGGTAGGGAATTCAGCCAACTGCACAATAATTCAGAAGCAGGGTATGAGTGACTGCCTCCCAAGAGAGAGCAAGTTATCAGAGTTCAATGGAGATTCTGATCCAGAAATCCAGAGGTCTGTGGCAAACACTGAGGTCTTATTTCATCAGAGAGGTGAAGCACTTCAGCCGAGGTCACACAGCTGGGTGCGTCATAAATACGTGATGAATCTAATGAGATTATTCTCCAACCCCAATTACATCTTAACCACTAATAACTTGGCTCTGGCTCCCCTAATGGGATTTCCTTCTTGGACATCAGCATTCCCTTCTCCTCTTCCACTGACACTGGCCAATTAGACAAGGGCAGGTGCTGTGATTGGGGTCACAGGGAGAGGAAGATAGAGAGGACCACAGCTCACCCCCATTCTTGGCCGAGAAGGAGGTGATCAGTTTCAGACTCTCACAGCCTCCTGTGATGGAGGCCAGGAGGAGCTCACCCATCTGCAGAGAAGGGCACATCTGGAAGCCAGGCTGGGGAACACCTGTTTGGGGGCACAGCATCCTTTCTGCTCCATGTCTGAGACCAGCAGGCATGAGAGAGATGTGGGGCTGCACGCAGAGAGGCATTCGGGCAGATCAACAGATCTGAGGAAGACAAAAGGGAAAAATACTCCACGAAATACACACATGCATGAGAATAAGCCAGCCCTTGCTCTGCACAGCCATCCGCTAGCTTTTGAGAGTCAGAGACACCAAGAAAGGCAGAGAGACAGACACAAAAAGGATTCCTAGGGAGACACTGATGTCCCCTCATTTATTCCACAGCCATATCGGGCACCTACTATGTGCACTCATATGGAGATAAAGGACAGTCTTTGCCTTCACAGAGCTCGCGGAGAACAGCATGCATGGGAACCTCACTGGCCGTACACTGCACAGAACCCATGAAGATGAGACATAGAGGCCTGGAGAAACACTAGAACAGAGGCGGAAAGGAAAAGCCTGAAGAGGCTTTGTGTCTCACAGGCGCTGAGATAGATGAAGGCAGAAGTGGAGCCACACAGGCGTGCTCAGACAGCAGACACACACCCGCACCCCAAGTCTGCTGTCCAGGAGAACCCAAGACCTTCCAGGACCTCCTCCCACCAGACCCCAAGCCTTTCCCTGTGGGCACACAGGGTTGGGGCACAAAAAGAGTTAAATTTTCTCCTTGAGGGGCATGGAGGGAAGAGCCAGACTTTGCCGAAGGCAAGCAGGTCTGCAGGTGAGCAGACAGGTGAAAGGAAAGTGAAAGCTGCCAAGACCAGGCCCAGACCCAGAGAGTCTTGGAAACCAAGGCCAAAGCTCAACTTCGCAAACTCAGAGGCAGAACCCAGCTGTGGCTGTTTTCAGCTTGGGTCAGCAGCCCCTACCCCAAACCAAGAGTTAGCTGACAAGAGCACAGTAAGATCCTCTCCTAACCTGAACAGAGCCCTCAATCACCCAATCTGGAATCCTGCAGCCCTAACAGCTTGCAGTCTATTAGTTGGGTCTAACTGAAAGCCCTCTGCTGCAGTTTGGGCGCAATTCCAGGGGCAGCGCACAGCAGCACAGGGCCATAGAACAGGTGTTGGCCCAATTCCTTCTGATCACCTGCTTGGCCAGCTGGAGACACCTTAAGTAGCCCCCTCTGACTGGCTCCGCACTCAGCTCCATCCTACACAGAAAAAGAGTCCAAGCCAGGAGGAGACTCACTAGCCAAGCTTTTGCAGAGGTGCAAGTGGAAAGGGGTTCTGGCTCCTCAAACACACCCTCTAGCTGCTGGTTCCTGGCAGGAAGCAGTTTGCCCCTCTCTTCAAGAGGGATGGAACAGAAGATACTGGTTCTGGCCACACACCAGTAGAGTGGTCTTAGGTCCGCCCTAGCCTCTCCACACAACCCACACCCGACCTGGCTCCCAGCCCCCTCTCCCCCTCACAACACCAGAGCCCTGCAGTCCCCTGCTTTGCTTGGGCTTCTCCCACCGTCCACTCAGTAAATATTTGTTGAGGGTCTCCTCACTAAGCTACACCTAGGATCCCACGGAGACAACAGACAATGTCAAAACGTTGAGGCGCTGGAAGGCTGGTGGAAGTGGGGAAGAGAAGGAGGAACTAGAGGAGGAGGAGGAGGGGGAAGGAAAGGAGAGGGAGAAGGGAGGAGAGGGAAGGAGGAAGGAGAGGAGAGGGGAGGAGGAAGAGGAAGAGGAGGAAAGAGAGGAAGAGGTAGTGGAAGAGGAGGAGGAGACCAGCCCAGGGCCAAGAACCCCACAAAAGGCTCCCCCGGGCAGAGCTGCGGCCCAGGGGCTCACCCAGTGCCAGGGCCCAGCAGTCCCTTCTCCCCGCCAGCCTCCACAGCGACCAGGTGCGAAGACACCCGGGCGCGCCTCCGCCCGGCCGAGCACGTGTGCGCGCCGGGGCTCCGGGGCGGGGACGCGCGGCCTCCCGAGGCCGGGCAGGGCGCGCGCAGGGGCTGCCCTCCAGATGTTAAGTGCAGGGCCCAGACTTAAGTAGCAATTAAGGCTGCCAGGGGAAGAAAGAGAAGGCCAAACAGCCTGTTTATTTCGCTCTCCCAACTCCCCCCATCGCACGCACCTCCTCTTTGAAAGAAAAAAGGGAAACAGAGTGAAAGAAAGGGGAGGGGGGACCCACTAAACCAAACCTTGCTGCAATTAGGAGAGCCGGCTGGGGGGAAAAAAGATACGCATTAAATGGATGTTTCTGCACAAAAACCCAGGCTGACCACATCTCTGGCCTTGTAAGGGGGAAATGACTGTGCCTGGGTGTTTACATAGCCGAAATCAGGGGGAATTATGCTGTCATACTGACAACTGCAGGAGGACAATTTTAAAATTACACCGTTCAACACCTTTAATGATTTGTAACAGAAGAGGTGTGGCTACTCCTATTAAATGTGTTGCCAAATCAATAAAAGGGATAATTGGAGTTGTTAGAGCAAATTATAGCAGCGTCCCTTCTGTTGCTGTACAATGTTCCCTTGTAAACTGCTATTACAGGCAGCGCTGTATTTCTCTCTTATTTGGCCGCTTTGTAATGAGTTGGCATTTTGCAGCATAATAGTTCCACTTTCTTTTATGGAGCTCTCACTTTAACTTTTTCTCCTTTGTGCAGCCTATAATTTCCTCGCCCTCCCTGCCTCTCCGCCTGTTTTCAGAGGTGGCCGAGCTGCCTGTCAGCAGCCTCTGGGTGATAAACTATATTATTTCACATTATTTTCAGGCCTTTTCAATTGGCAGTCAGATGGGGTTGGAGGGGTAGATGGGTCTGAAGGGATGGGGCTGTGGAAGGTGGGGAGAGAGAAGACAGGGCCAGGAGGAGAGCTAAAAAATTCACAGAAATAGAAATGTGGGGGCAGAAGGCTGGCCTCAGTCCTAGGGGTGGGCGTCTGGCCCTTTAAAGGCAGAACTTTTGGAAGTGCTCTGCCTGAGCAGAAACTCTAGGGGGCATTAGCTGTTGGTGTAAAGGTTTATACACTGTCCTGTCAGGCCCCTGCTTACCTGCAGCTTCACCCCAGAACCTTAGACGCTCCCTGATCATCCTAAGAAGCTACTGACCCTCCTCTGCCATAGGAAGGGTGTGGGGCTGCACCAGACTTTGAGATGGACAGGTCTGAGGGGTGGATTGGCCATTCCTACTGCAGTCTAGGCCTGAAACCACTGGGAATTTGGGGACACCAAGCACCCAGCCAAGGCAAGGAGCTGGAAACTATTGTAGGCCTGTTCCTGGGGAATGTATCAGCTATCTGGGAAAGAGCACTGGACCAGGAGTCCAGAAGCTTGGTTCCAGACTTGAGGGTGACTCTTCACCTCTCCCACAGTCAGGCCCTGGCCTCTGACTGGAAAGGACAGAATCCCTGGGCAGCTAGGACCAAGCCTGCTGTGTGTATCATTCAGTTCTTGTGACAGCAATAGAAGCCCCCGCCCAGACAAACCTCACTCAGTCAGCCCCTGCGCTGAGCTACAGGACACTCAGTCTGAATTACCAAGAGGTCTCAGTGAGAGACAATTGGAAAAGAAATGCCACTTTATTACTTCCACGGAGCTGCCATCCCTGGAACCCATCTGCTGCCAAGCTGTGCGGCAGCAGGACCCACCACAGAAAGCAGATAAGACTTGATGGTGGACAAATAAGATTCATTTGCAATGAGCAGCATCGATTTGCTTGCCAACAATGAGCAAAGTCCTAATTCCTTTTGGTGGTTCCTTGTGGCCTTGGGCATCCTTTTGCTTCCATCCTTCATGATTCAAACTAAATTTTTCCCAAGAGGGCAAATAAAAGTCAACCTGCCTTGGGGCAACCAGGGGAAGTTTGGATTACTGAGGTTTCAGAGAACACAATTTACCCTGTGACAGATTTCCAAGTATCCATTACTAGGGTCCTAACTTGAACAATAATCAGTCCCATAAAATCCCAGCAAAATGAAACATGAGGACAGTTCCACAACATCTGCTTTTAGCAGGAGCTGAGATTTTTCTTTATACTGATCCATGCTAACAATGCTTCACTTCAGCCAATAGTTGACTGTCACTTCCGCCAATGTTAATTATCTCGTATTTTCCAAGCACTATGCTGAGTGCTGGGGCAGCCAGCGGTAAATGAAACACACACCATTGCTGTCCGCTTGGAGTTGATATTCTGATAGGGAGTGGATAACAATAGCAACAACAATAAATATAATCACAGCACAGCAGTCCTTACACTAGCATCGTGCAAAAGTGACAGCAAAATGCTTTCTCTGATCAGAGGCACTGGGATATGGTGGAAAGAACACTGAGTAGTTGGGAAACCTGGCTTCTGTCTCCAGGTCTGCACTTGAGCGCGCTTTTCCTCACTGAGCCTCGGTTTCTTCATTTGTAAATGGAGGATGTATTTATGTATTCATGTATTCACTCATTTATTCACTCCACAAACGGTTCTGTACTGAGGTCCTACTTTGTGTTGACACTCCGGTAGGCCCTAGACATGGAATGTGTGATCTAGTTGCAAAGATGGACATCAATCTGTATTGTATCAGTATATAATGACAGAAGGCAATAAATGCTGAGAAGGAGAAAGACAAGGGCTTATTTGTAATCCCAACCTGAGAACAACTCAAATGCCTGAAGGAAGCCAGACTGAGTAGAAGGGGGAGAATGATCTTATTGAAGTTGCTGGATGGGCAGGAGCCCTGAGCAATTGGGGACAGGTCAAAGACTTGGCCCTAGACCCAAAAGGTAGGAGAAAGCCCCAGACAGGTTTTAAGCAGGAGAGTAACAAGACCCAGTTTCCATCTTAAGAATCCACTTTTAGCTGTCCTGGACAGAAAGGATTGAGGGGGGCCCAAAACAGCAGCAGAAATGAGTCAGGAGTTGTGGTCCATGAGAGTATTACAGGTGGCTTTCAGGGGACAAAGGCAAGGACAGTCAATATTATTTGTCATCAGAAAATGCAAAGTTCACCCACTGTGAGATAGTATTACACACTCACCAAAATGGCTAACCCTTAAAGGCCTGACCGAGATGCAGAGAGTTAGTGATGCTCACACACTGATGGAGAGGATAGAAATCAGTACAACCACTTTGGAAAAAAGAACAACTGGTAGTGTCTGTTAAGCCAAAGAAAGTGTAT